TTCAATAGCTCTAAGAGAAAATCACATGGATGGCAGTACAATGGAAATGGCTATTTTATTAAGATGTTGAAAACAACAGTACAGCTGTAATTCACTGTGGAGTTTCCATACATTTTGTTGTGAAAGTGATGACAAATTGATGATTTTGCCATAAAACTGTCAAATACAGCAAACTACTAAATAAAGGCATTTTATGTAGCGGCACAGAGACACTCAGACTCTTTCCAGATGCAGTTCAAATTCAGCTCTGCTAACAACCAATTATAGAATATAGGTTTTCTTAAAAAATCAAAACCAAACCAACAAGAAAAAAACCAAACCCAAAAAAATAAAAAAAGAAACCACAAAATCAAAATACCTCTTCTGAAGACATCCTCTATAAATTATTCATATATTTGTGGACTTGGTTTTTAAAACTTTCAAAGAAAATTTCAAAAGGAATCATTTGGTCCCAAAGCGTAATTCTTGATCAGAATAGTCTTCACTGAAATGCTTGTATATTTAAATGCTTGTAGTTATTGCTTATATTTCTGTATTTAGTGTAATAGAAATTAATTAACTTCTCAAGTGATATTTTGAGAGGACAATTTCACACAATTGCTGAAGAAAGATGTGTGTTACTTTGGTTTATAATCCTGAAAGGGAGATTATTTTGTCAGTAAGAGATTATTTCTTCATATAGTTCTATAAATATTAATTTCCCTACCTCCTCTATCACTTGCACAACCAGAAAACACATTAGCAAAACTGGGATGTAAATTACTAGCAAAGTAAAATCAGAAAGTTTATGCACTGTTATCTCTTGCATGTGTGTGAATACAGCAGTAGAAAGGTCTATTTAGTTTCTTACATTTCCAGGATCTTTCAAAATCTACAATAGTCTTTGCAATTGCTTCGGTATTTCTGATTCTAAGACTGTAAATCTGTTTTTATTATCTCTCAGTATATTTCTACATGGACTTGTTACCAGCTTTCTGTATTTATAAGTAGAAACGGATGGAAAAATAAGAAAAAAATTCAAAGCTTAATTACTTTACTAAATTTAAAGTTGTTTATAAACTCATTCATTTTAAAGAAATAACATTTTCATCAGCAGTAAAGTGTTTTGGAGCTGTGATGCATTATGCAGAGAAAAATGTTAGTGAACAGCATGTGGTTCTGTTAGAAGAGCAGGCTTTATTAAAAGAGCAGAGAGGTATCTTGCTTTTTCCACAACTTTTCAACAAGACTAAATGTAATTATTATTCTTGTGTATCCTCCAATGTATAAGTTGTAAACAAACTATGAATAGAATACATAGAATACACAAAGATTTAAGTATAACATGATGCAAACATAACAAAATATTTACTATAAAGAGCCTTCATAGAGCCAAGGTCTTTATAAGTAGTATAGCTCCAACAGTTTCATTCAGATAATGAAGTAAGGGTGGGGAAAGAAGGTTCAAAGAAAAGAATTCAAGTGTCTGAGCTCATCTTTAACTACTGCTTTTATTTCCTAAAGAAAGACTAAAATATGCAACATTATGACAATTTTGTTGAAAATAATCTCATTACTATAGATTTATTTGCAATTCATAGAGTCTTTCTGACAAATGTCTTTTGATATTCTTTATTTTGTATAAAATGTTTACCTTGTTTGTTTTTTAAAAAATACTTTACAAAGGAAATAATTTTTCTAAATATATTTCAAAGTTAGACTTTTACAAACATAATATTCAGATTTCTGCTGAATGACTTAAGAGTTAGCAGTGTTAGCACAGAAGCCATAACCTTCAGGATTTAATTCCATTTGATGGCATGCCAATCCATCCTGTGATGAAGAATGCAGCCAGCTCAACTCTTGTTGAGTATGTGAGGGTCATTTAATATTTATAACATATCTCTTCAGTGATATTGGCCAGATGATTGTGTTGTCCTTTTTTTTTCTAGCACTTTAATAGCAAAAGGCAATGAACAACCGATTCATACAAATTAACTTCTCAGCTTTTCATTTCTCAAACTGTGAGATGCCATGCTTCTGCCCAGGAAGTGCACTGGATATAGTCAAATCTACCAGCTCCTCTGTGACAGACCAATGCATTGCAGTCCGGAATTCCCTTTCCCTTGTGATGGGATCTGATGCATTTGGCACCTGATGATGCAGTTTTGGGCACCGCAATATAAGAAAGATATTAAGCCATTAGAGAGTGTCCAAAGGAGGGCAATGAAGATGGTGAAGGGCCATGAGGGGAAGCCCTAAAAGGAGCAGCAGAGAGCACTTGGTCTGTTCAGCCTGGAGAAGAGGAGACTGAGGGGAGACCTCATTGCAGTTACAACTTCCTCGTGAGGTGGGGACAGGCACTGATTTCTTCTCTGTGGTGACCAGTGACAGGACCCAAGGGAATGGCCTGAAGTTGTGTCATGGGAGGTTAAAGTGGGATGTTAGAAAAAGATTCCTCACCCAGAGGGTGGTTGGGTGTTGGAACAGGCTCCCCTGGGGAAGTGGTCCCAGTACCAAGCCTGATGGAGTTCAAGAAGTGTTTGGACAATACTCTCAGGCACATGGTGTGACTTTTGGGAATGGTCCTGTGCAGGGCTTAGGGTTGGACTCGATGATCCTTGTGGATCCCTTCCAGCTTAGCATATTCTGTGACAGAATATGCTGTACAGAAGGCTGGTTGTGAGAGTGGTACACAGCTGCTGCACAGGATCCCCAATGGCACAGTGCTAGTGTTCAGGTCATGAAACAGAATAGATTAAATTAGTACTAATGACTGCTAAAACATAACCATAGTAATCTATTAGTATTCACAACAGGAGGAAAATCTCAGGAAATGGGAAATGGTCTGTGGATGAGGTAGTTGGGGAGGACTTGCAGCTGGACCTCAGTGCAGGGTCCAACTCAAACCAAACAGAGCAATCTCCACCTTCTCTGACATACAGAGGAAAAAGGTCATGCAATTAAAAATATAAAAATTACTGTCCTTTAAAAGAAGTACTTTAGATGACAGTATATGTGGCAAATATTCAGAAATACCTTACGTGCCACTAGCGTCTTTTTTACCCCTAGAAAAAAACCCACGATCTCCTTAAAATTCAAAAGTAATAAATACATTTTGAATAGTGCTTAATATTACCTACAATTGTACAAATATAAACTAAATAAACATGAAAAGCTTTCATTAAATCTAGTTTGCTGCCTCAGAAGACTGGATCAAAAACAGCCCTGATCATACTTCAAGATATACTTGAAAGAACATGAAGGGACATGACCTGTATCTAATACATCATAAGTTGCATTTCTGAATACAAGGATATTGACAGTTTAAGCATAGAAAATTAATTGTTAAATCACAGTAAAACTGCATTTTTTACTTTAAGTTCAAAACTAATTGATAATTTTGGGAATTCTTAAAGACAAAAACTAAGAAATCATCACATATCATGAAAAATGTATTCACCACACCGCTAGCCACAGATGCAAGCAATAATATAGTTGTGTTACCACATACTCATTCATGATTTAGTCTGATAGATGCTCTCCTTTTTTGCTTTATGAGAAAGAAGCATTTAATCTGTCTTAAAGGCAATTTCACTTAAAGTGAAGTGCAGTTTTCCAACAGAACAAAATTTAGTCATGCATAAAATTCACATGAGGGCATATAGGAATTATGCTTGCATTTCATGTAAGTCTACAATTCTTATTTCTGAAGACTTGTCTCATAATTAAAAATTAAAACAGACTAGAAAATACTGATAAGAGTGCTACATTGGTTGGTTTTGAATAAGTGCTGTAAAGTTAAGGTATATGTACACGCTTCATCTGAACTTAACTGAGTATGTGATTCTAACATTCATTTGCATGTCCAACAGGAACAGACTCTTAGGCAGTAAGCACTATCTTTTTCTTCTCAAACATTAGTTATAACACAGCTTCTCTCACTCTCAGTACTATGTTTTCTTCTCATGGTAAAGGAAGAGAATAGCAGTTTAACAATGTTATTTTACATAAGATATAGCCTAAATAGTATCCATATTTGAGTCACACAACAATGCAGTCCAAACACACAATGTGATTTTGACATATTATGGAATGTATTTGCCTGATGCAATAAAAAGAGAGAGATAAGGTGTATATAGATATGTTTAATTTTTAATTATGGGGATAGAAAAGGTGAGCCTACATTTACGTCTTTCCGTCATTAGCCTCAGGGATCAATCCATGATCACCAGGCCACGATGTACAGACCATGAAACAATTGCCTGGGTCTTCCCTAAGCTCCATAGTAGACCTTGGGAACCACAAAAAAATTAATTTTTCATAGTTTCTAGTCCTAAGTACTCAGAATTATCACTGAAGATATAGAGTAGTCCACCACAGAGGGTTCTTCTATAGCATGACCTTGAGAGTGTGTTTCATCCCATAGTGAGGGACACAAGGACGTGCAAGCATCCAAGGGTAATAACACTATGTCTTCTATAGACTTCTTCTAAAACCTAATCTACTAATTTTTCCACCTTAGTCACAGCTAGTTGGTTAATTCTGGATAGGGAAAACAGAACTGAAGAAATAATACAGAGTAATGTAGAGCATCATCAGACTTGTGCGTCAGCTGAGGGGAGATGAAAGAAGAGCCTGCAGCTTACTACGGGGGATGGAACTGAAAGCTTCTTACAAGCCTGTGGCTATATTCTGTGAATTCTTTCTTTCTCCTTGTTTAAGAATAAATGTATTTCTTTATCTACAGTGCTCACATTCTGTGTTTCATACAATGTTCTTCCACTATGAAGACAAGCAATATGAAATGAAGGTGAAAAATTTGCAATATGGGATCACTGACTTTCACTGACATTTACTCTATATGCAATTTGGAAAATCCGTATGAGAATTGTCTCCTGATGGAACTCTCCTTCTCATGGCAAAGGCATAAAGTTATCTGAAAAACACTATGCTTAACAGATATTACAACATTTTCCGTGTTTGCTGAAATGTCGTATGATTGAAGAATCACCACTTACTGCGGTCAGTAATTATTGTTCTGGCCTCTTGATTGCTCGTCTTGTTTTTTAGGTTTTGTGCTGCAGTTATTAGTTCATCCAGCTGGGGACGTCTTTGCTCCAGATCCTGTAGTATGGCCTGGTCAAACACAAATACAAAAATAAAACAAAGTTAAAAGCATATGGAGCAGTTGAGAAGACCACATATAGGGACATTTTTTTTTTTTTTGTGCTTGCTTAATTTAAAGCAAAAGGATTGCTTGCCGTTTCCAATATTATGAAGAATTTGGTCTAGACCTTCTAAATATTGTTGTTATTCTTTATATAAAAATACCAAGGATAACTTGTAATAATAATTAAAGAACAACCTATAAAACTAGACAAATAAAATTGACAATCATTCTTCATTTTTAACACATCAAATTATGTAGGATAAGCTATTCTCCTGTATAAAGCTATAGAACGGCACTATTTTTAAATATACTTTTAGATTTTACGGGGTATTCGAAAAAAAGATATAAGGGTTTACTATCTTAGCTCATAGGGTAGGCTTTTCCTAGTAAATCATGAGGTCTAATTAATAATGTTTGCTTTTTAATATTTCAAGACTGTTTAATCAATTGTTTAAAAGCCATTGTAAGACTGTTAATGTCACTTTTTCTGTCCTGACACCTTATCTAGCAGAAAAATAATTAACACTCACAAATAATTTATATGTGAGTAAAACAGATACTTAAAGCCCAGGCAACCTGAAAATGAAAACTCAAGGAAAGTAAGGTGTATAAGATCTATGCATACATTACTTTAACTTATTTTGAAGGATTATGGAAGAGCAAACAAGGAATCAGTACAATCTTTTCTCAGATGAGAAGCATCCAAGTATGTATTTAAGGACATTGACCAAATTTAGTAACTTCAACTTCCTATTGTGTAGTTTCCAGAAAAGATGCTCATTACATTTCCCAGTCTTAGAAGCTGGAAGTAGCAATATTTATTACAACACTATAAACAAACTACTTTTTTCTGCCCACAATTTTTAGTCATCAGAACAGAACAGTATACTGTCAGATAGCTGGTAGGTATACTATACCAGCTATCAAGCTGGTAAAAAAAAAAGGCTAAAGAATTTATTTTTCAGGCTTGTTACATAGACATTGGTTGGATAGCCTGTTAATATGCTCACCTGGCTGTTGACTATGTGTCTTGAGTATTTTATTGTCATGAAAGTCTCCCCTTTCTGCTCCTCAAAATGTTGGGGGTTTTTTCCCATAAATAATCATACCTTATTTTGAAAAGCTGTTATTCATTGACTGTACTGGACAAAAAAGACCTGCAGTCTCATCTTGAATTTGATTCTCCAACTTGAAACTAGTGTTGCATAATTTTCAACAAGTTGAAGGTGACAAATAAAGGCCTAATATAATTTTCTGTTCAATGAGATTAATAAAAGAGCATGATAATATAAATTCCTGTAACTACAGTGTGTATTACCAAAAGCAAGCTAAAAGTTTCACAGAGTTTCCTTTTGTTCAGTTACAAACTCTTAAAAAAACAAAAAAAAAAGGTAATTTTCAAGGTACACATCTAGCTACAGCCTGGGAAATTCTTGCCTTGAACTTCTGTATCACAAGTTCTTTGAAAATCTGTTATAACTGGCTTTCTAAACCCAAAAGTTTGGAAGGTATTTTTTCTCCTGTATACCGATTGAATTGCTTACAGAGACATGTAGTTAAAGCAGCAGCTTGCATAATTAAGCAGGTAATAAATTTATCTTTAAAAGTCTCTCCTTATTGAAAGCACTCGAGAAAAAGAAATAAAATCTAGTGATGCAGTTACTACCTCTAGATAGCTATGTGCCTTCTAAACTCCATTTTCTAGGAAGACAAGTTAATGAATTACATGAATTTTGCAATGGAAAAAGCAGTCCCACTGCAGCTGAAAAACACCTGTATTACACACATTGCCAAAATGGACCATGCAGAAGGAGCATTAAAACACATACAACAGGTCCAGATAATTCTGGGGCTTCCAAAATAATACTTCCCTTTCTCTATCCTTCCCCTACTGTTCAGAAAAGGAAAACCAAATTAAGTGATTCTAAGGTCTTATGCCAACAGTGACTCTGTTCCCTAAAGTTTAATAAATAAAATTTTTATACTGGATATACTAAAATAGAATGATTTATCTGATCCAGTCTGAGTCTCCAACCAGACATTAAATACTGTGTTTGTGCCCTGGAAGAAAGCTGCTGTTATATGAAACCTAGTAGGAAACAAAGCAATAGGTAAGGAGAGCTCAAGGGGGATTTTCTCAGTATAAAACTGAGTGAATGGAGCTGCTCTGTGCCTAAGGGCTTACAAAACAATTTAACCCCAAGACCCATCTGCAGTTCCTCAACTGGACATTCAGGAAGACTAAAAATGCCTCTTTTAAGTGAGTCTTGTTGGATGTACTAATGTGTCAAGGACACCTTAAAACTCTTATCCTATAAACAGATCTGAAGATTCTCAGACCTTTCAGTAGACAGTAACACGTAATTATAGAGCAGATTTTTTTTCTTACTCTTAGAAAAGTGGCCACATAGAATAATGGAAAAGCAACATTCTTCAAAATAATATATTTTTTCCTTGATTTAATAGACAGTGTCTGAGAACAATACCCAAGAAATGTCTTATTTTATTCAGTAGAATTTTATTTTATAATTGCTACAACATTTGTTGGTCTACATTTACCAATTGGTACGATCTTAAAGATTTAGCAAATATATGTTCCACATGGTATCTGCACTGCATGGACACATACAAACCCTGATAGTAGCTTGGATAAAAGTACCTACTAAAACATAGCACTCCTGAGCCTTCCTGTGATTCAGTAGTGTGAAAAATAAACAGCACCACTTGAGTTCCACTTAAAGTACTATCAAATTCAGAAAAATATTCTGCGACTAGCTAAACTGATAATACAAACTGATTTTGTGGGTTAACAAAAATACAGATTATTATGTTAGGAAGAGAAGTGCTTTGATGAATGCAAATTAAAACACCACTAAATATGTTTTTTGGGAAACATAAAAATTGAATAGCTTTTTAAAGTATTAGCTGAAATGATCTGAAACAAACAAACAATAAACCTCCAAACCAAAATCAGAAGCAATTCATATCTGGAGATACTTTTAAAAACTTTTACGAATTCAGCCAAATATTTAATGTTGTAAAACTGGATCCTCAATGGAAAACTAAGTGGAAACCATTAGAAGATACTGTTATAAGAGCCATGGGAAGAAAAACTCATTAATAGTGGCACCCTGATGGAGGCACAGCAGATGCAAAAGACCAGATGCCTCTGATTTGGAATGTCAGCACACTGAAACAAATGCGCTATATAAAAGCGGGTAATACAGAAATAAAAGTTAAAATGAAAGTATTTTCAAAATAAATGAAACAGAAACCCATCTAGTTTCCATCAAGTCACCAAAAGCACAGGTACAAAGACTTAGAGAGTCAGTTAAACTGAAAGGTGTTTGTTTGGTGGTTTTTGTTTTTTTAAATAAACACTTATATTCTTTTGCATATAATTTCCCTCTAGTCTTATTTTCCTGGTAATTATGTATTCTGCAAAAATTTATAGAACACATTTCAAAAAAAGAAATTTTTGCTTAATTATAAGTGTAATTCCACATGAGCAGATCAATAGCGAAGAAGGACCATTGACATCCATGGTTGCACAAACACAACTTTAAACCCAAAAGAGCTTTTCTTTTTCTTCCATATATCTATGAATGCCAACATAATGATGCTTGGAGACAGCACAGTAATGGAACAATGAGATGCCATCAAACCTACCAAGAGTTTGTTAGAAAGTGATGCTATTCACTTTTAACAATCTTTTCATATTTGTAGATAGCAACTGCTCAAAAGAAAAAAACAATTTTCAGATTCCTAACTTTTATGATTTTCCAACAAAAAATAAGTGTTGAGATATGGAACAAATTGTTCAAGTCAGTAACTGAAATAACTTGCATTAAATTGGCTAAAAAATAAACTGAAAAACTGAAACAGGTGAAGTGTTATAAATTCTTGGAGGGACTGCAAGGTTTGAGACTGAGAATTAAAATATTCTCTAGCTTTATAATGTACAGCATGCTAGAGCCTGCATATTTGTCACTCTAGCCATGTGTATAGCACTTTATGTAAAAGATAGGATCCTCAAAATCTATCCAGTTTTTTTTTTCCTCTCCTGACTTCATGGTAAGTGTTATTAAACTGGAATAGCTGAATTTCAGGATGTTACCAAATTTTATACATTCAACTAATCATTGTGCTGATTATGCATGTTTGTTCTTTAATATTTTAAACAACTTTTCTTAAGACAAAGCCAGGACTTTTCATCTCCCTGTGCTGAATTCAAACATATAAAGAAGAGTTCAAGTTGTTCTGCAACATTATATATGACTGAGCCTTAGTCTGTACGAGTCTTTAAAAACCCTCTGGGCCTACTCTTGTAACCCATTTACATTCCTATGTTGAGAAACCTCTCTGAAAATATAGATGTTTAAGTGTCATTACAAAAGATTGAAATAACTTTGGGTAAAGCAGGTCCCACACTTCCCATTTAGTGTTTAGCTGAGAAGTCCTCTGTAGTGGCAATGACTACCACGTCTTCACAAGTTTTCAGTGTATTTATGTGCTTCCAGTCAAATACAGTTTGTTATCTATTTTATACTAACTATTAGAATGCTAATAGTGACAGATCCAAAAAAATTATGTTTCGGACAAAAAGGTGATTTAAGAAAGACCTTCCTTATTAAGAGCAAACTGGAAGACTTTTTGTCATTAACAAGCCACGGCTGAAGACTAAGATTTCACAACTGTTTGGGATGATTTGGTTTGGCCAACTCCTAACTTTGTTTAATGAAATGAACCACTGAATCAAAACTGGTTCTGATGATTAACTAACTGAATGATTAATATGGGGTTGTAAGAGAGAAGGAAGATATATTTCTTATGTTATGAAGTTATTTGCTCCTCTGAACTAATTTACCAAGATATACTTGGAAAAAGCATAATTCTATTAAACAGCTGTTCAGGAAGTTATTTCCTCATCTTCTGAAAAACTTTAGACTCTAAACCTTAAATTTAA